GAGCGAGGGAGGGTGCTCGCCGGTACCGTTGGTCGCTTCAGGAACAATAGAAGCAAGCGTTGTAAAAACACATGAGAGCAATGAGTGGCCATTAATGCTTTCCTTGGTTGTACAACTCTTTTGCATCCATGGATTGCTGAAGAGATGTTGGTGCTTTTACAAGCGACTCCTATTGTTTTCACGTTAGAGTGTGTTATGAAGTTTAGGAGGAATTTATGTTGGTATGTGGATTAGAAAAGACTTCAAAATAAGTGTATGACACTGTAAGTGTAAGGGGTTTTATTTCTTTTAATTATTGTGATTTATTTGCAATATTATGGGATGTATAGTACAAAACAAATTACTACAGATGTAGACTTTTTGTAATTTATGAAGTTGTTAGTGTTTTTTATTATGGAATACATTTTAAATTACAGGTTTGTGTTTCATAACATGATAAGTTGAAGACTTCTGTTTTCTGTTTGCTAATAGAAGGAAGAAGAAATGTGCCTTAATGTTAGTGAGAGCAGTAAGGTAAAAGGAAGAATTTTTATTTCATCTGAAACTGAAGGAAGAGATCTTATTTTTAAAGATCACAGCGTAGCATATAACTTTATGATAGGAAAACAGTTTGGGAAAAATGAGAATTATGAGTAGAAAATGCTTACGGAAGATTAGCACTGACAGCATGGCCAAAAGTTTACAGCAATTGGAAATAAAAATTCTGAATTATGTTACCTATGGTGCTTCTGCAGGTTATGCAGATTTGAGAAGATTTGGCTTTCATATTTTAGTTTATCTGTTAGCTGTATGGGGAAACAGTATGTCAAGTGTGTTGACACCTTTAGGGTTTTTGTCCTAATTAATAAGAAGCCATAGTGAGTTTGTGGTATCTTGTTGGTTTAAAGGAAGAAAACCCCAGTTCTTCTGTAAGGTGCTACTGTCCCCAGGTGGTGATGTGATGTCCTGATTGAACTGGAATCCCAGTACACTGGTAGCTTCTCAAAATCTGAGCAGCATCCAAGTTTTGTGGGTTTGGTTTTGGGGATTTTGGTAGTTTTTCCTTTTCACTTGTATCTCTGGGAATGCTATTGCGGTTGCAGATTGCTAGTCTTGACTCCAGAGCCTCCACAGAGAATATTAATTTCTATGCTGTTAAAAGTACTTCTGGTAAGTTGCTAGGGTTTGTTTTTAAAAAAAAAATCTTTTTTAGAACTGCTGTACTTGTTATGTCTTTGTCTGATTTGAGAATTTTAATAGCTTTTCCAGTCTCATAATAATTTTAATTTCATTCACAAAGATTACATTAAGTAGATTAGCAACTCCAGATATATGTGTTTTCTATAGCAGCCATGCTGTCTTTCATATACAAGCATTCAGAATACAGAAGTTTCAGAGGATACTCCTGTCATAGTCCAAAAGATGCTTATAGAGGACTGCCCAAACAGTCATGAGTCAGAATTAAGTTTACTAGCTAATCATATCTTTGGTGTGATTTGATAACTCTTTTAATTTGCAAGAGTAATTAAATTAATGGACATGTACTTTTTTTGTTTCAGAAATCATGTGACGGCAGTGATTCAGGCAGACCATTCCAGAGCAGCGTTTCCCCACGGGCACCAAGCGTTCCTTATCGGACAACCAAAAGTGTGGCTTCCAGTGACGAAAGCTTTTCTGAATCTGATGATGACAGCTCTTTGTGGAAACGAAAACGACAGAAATGTTTCAACTTTCCTCCTGCTAAATCTGAACCTTTTCAGCTTAGCCAGTGCCACCAAAAACAAACTGCTCTAGGTGGCAAGAAGGTCAACAATATTTGGGGCGTGGTGCTACAGGAGCAGAATCAGGATGCGGTGGCAACTGAACTTGGCATCCTAGGCATGGATGGTAGTATTGACAGAAGCAGGCAGTCTGAGACTTACAATTATTTATTGGCTAAAAAGCTGATGAAGGAAGCTCAGCAAAAGGAGGCAGAGACTTTAGATAAAGAACTGGATGAATACATGCATGATGACAACAAAACATTGCCAGCAGAAGAAGAAAATGGGCAAGGCTTTCTCAAGCGGAAGCGACCTGTAAAAGATAGACTGGGTGAAAGACAAGAAATGAAATATAAAGGAAGGTATGAGATAACAGAGGACGATTCAGAGGAAAAAGTGGCAGATGAAATTGCTTATCGGTGAGTTTGCTAACAGTTTATCTTCACTTCCTTAAGTACTGGTAATCTGTTGATGGAAAAGAAGAGGGGAGGGGAAGAAGCTTTGTTACTGCTAAATATGTGAGATGTCATATTAGATTACAAAAAACATGAGGACTTTATGTGTATATCCAAAATCCTGGGATTAAAATGCAGTATTATGTCTGTTTTTTTGTAGAAGCATCCAGTAATACTCTCTAATTATTTATTTGTTTGCTTGCTTTAAGATCGAAATGGTTTGTTATTTGAGAGCAGTGGCAAGGAAAAATACTGTTTCTTGTGATACAGATTTAGCAGTGGCTTTTTTAGGCAGCACCCCATGAGTAAAGATGCGTGTTTGGAGTTGGATACCAGTGAACGCCTGCTGTGGTCACCATGAAAATCTGACTAAGTTATAAATCTTGAAACTGTAGATGACATAGACTGTGTAGTGTTTTGGAGAGCACAGCTTCTGAAATACATGTATGCTTTACGTGGAGCATGCTTATCTGAAGGAAATGTTGTTACCAAGGGCTGTGCCAAGGTTAGACACCAGCACTGAAGTAAGCCTTGCCTCTCTCTGTGTTGTGAGACTGCGCTGCAGCTCTGTCCGAATTTATGGAAGCCAGAGTTGGGCTTACCAGGCTCACTTGTATGCACACTTACCACCATCCAGTTCTTTGCACAGTTATTGTACACTGAACTGAGTCAGAAAACTTATTTTTCCAAAAGCCTGTTGCTTTTTTAAAGATTAGTTTGCAGGCAGTTTTATATCCTAAACCAATCTGCTGCACGTTTTTATTTGAGCTGGCATTGGCAGTACTGGAGTGATGGTGTGGTGGAGAGTACCTGACTGCAGTCATTCTTACTCAGCTTGGCTTAAACTACCACTATCCTTTTTCAGTGGTGCAGGGGCAGAAAATGGTGTTAAACAGGGAAAAAGAGTTAGATATACTGATGGTTAGCTTGACATTTAGCTAAAACCTGGGTTTATTGACGACTGTCTTTCTTACATGTGATCCTTAGGATTGCCAGATGCTGAAATACAACAGTTAGACAATGATTAATAGTGTTACCAGTTCTAGATAGCTTCTCATTTATGAATTTGAAAACTCTGAACGTGTCTTGTAACAAACTTTTCTTTGTTATATTGAGCTTCATTAAAATAGGGCTGAAGCCTCATTTTTTCTAGTTGTTTATAGTAGTGATGGTGCTGTACTGCATCTGTAGTAACCAATATATATGTATGTATATGTATACCCACTGTAAGGATTGTGGTTATACACATCGCAGCACTGTTGTTTGATCTGTGCTGTGCCATCTGTGCCCCGATTCATAACCTTTTGTTGTGCTAGAGCACGCACTGAACTTAAAAGATTTTTTGTGATTACCTTGTGCCTTTTTTGCCCTCTACCTTGTTTAGTTCCTGTTGCACTGCACAGCTGCATGGTAAAGCACGCATACAGGAGGATTGTGCAGGACTAGAATGAACACTAGATGGGGGATTTGACTGATTAAGCTGCCACTGCTGCTAACAGAAGGTCTGTTAAACCAGCTCTCTAAGGAGTCCTGTTTATCTTGAAGTTCTCTGCATCTCTGAGAAACCTTTCCATCTCTTACAATCATTCACAACTTAGAACTCAATCCTGTAAATATTTAGGAAAGCATTTATCTTCTGGTGCCTTAAAATGCATTGAATTCAGAGAGATTAAACACGGAGTGTACAGTTAAGTGGTTTGGGTAATCCTTTTCATGATTAGGACAATTGTCACTAAAATGTGAGCTTTAACATTTAATTTCAGATGGCTTCAGTCATACCATTGAAGCAGTTGAAGCTAGCCTGGTTGTTTTAAATAGTTGTTCACATCTGTGGTCAGAAACCTTCTATTATGCAGTTATTATAATGTATGCAACTTCATAGCATAGTAATGTCACTTTGTGGTGACCAGGACACACTTGAAGCAAATAGGCTAGACAGTGGTCTTCAAGAAATTTTGGTAATGATGGTGGTCTGCTGGTCCCCTGTCCTGGTTTTTAGTTGGAACAGGCCTGAGTTTATTTTCAGTAGCTAGAATAGTGCTGAGTTTTTGCTTTCAGCCTGGGACTTGTTATTAGAGAGACAATGATAACATCCCAGTGTTTGCATTTCTGTCGCTGGAAGTGAAGGACTTTGTGTTCTGTTAGTCTGCAAGCACAAGATCTAAGGGGGGCGAGGAATATTTAAATTAATAAGCTAAGCTGACATTTGGATATGCCAGTGGGATGGATATTCCATATCATATCACGTCATGTCCAGTGTATTAGTGAGGGGCTCTTCCTCTTTTCTCTCCCTCTGGCTTTCGCTCGGGCCGGGAGTGCAGTTTCAGTTCGGGGTTGTCGCTCCTCTGGGATCGTTACCTGGGATCGGGCCGGGCTTGGTCGGTGGGTGCCCATACAGAAAAGAAAGTATAAAAAGAAAACCATTTACTCTGCAGTAGATGAAGACAAACCAGGTGTATCACGAGAACAGGAGGAAGAGATAGAACCTGAGGTGATCACCCGATCTTTGTCCGTGAGTGGGCTGTGAGATACACGAAAAGATTACAGCTGTCACGTAGGCAAGTGGATTATTACTTGGTTGCTCCAGTGCTGGAATAATGGAGCCAGTAGCCTGGAACTGGAGGACAGGGAAGCCAGGCAGCTGGGATCCCTTGCCAGAGAAAGTGGAATTGATAAAGCGATTGGAAAGAAACCACAAACCCTCAGCCTCTGGAGATGTCTTCTGTCAGCCGTGAGGGAAAGGTATCCTGTCAAGGATGATACTGTATTGCAGCCAGGGGTAGGCAAATGGGATGACCATGGATAAAGGTATCCAGCTTTTGAGGGAACTGGCTGTGTGAGAACTGATTTATGGTGATCCAGACAATGCACAATTACCTACAGACCCAGATGAAGTCCGATGCACGGTACCCATGTGGCGGAAGCTCATACGGAGCGCACCCACCTCATATGCCAGCTATTTGGCAGCAGTGGAATGGAAGGACAAAGAGGGATGAACTGGCTGTCCGACTCCAGCAATATGAGGAAAGCCTCTCTCCCTGCCTTCTTTTGGCTGTGGAGAAACTGACTGAAAAAGTGTCCCAATTATGCTCTCTACCTGTATAGACCAGTGTCTCAGCCACTAGAACCGAGCATCCTCCTGTGCAAAGGAGATGGTATACACCAAGGGGGACATTGTGGTTTTACTTGCATGACCATGGAGAAGACATGAGAAAATGGGATGGGAAATCTACCCTGGTCATAGAAAAATGAGTACATGAGTTGCAAGGGAAACTAAATACAACTAGAGAACCTTCCAGGAGAATTGCTCTGATTTCCAGAAACCCATTCCTCAAACAGAATAGAAAGATCAAATTTACGCCCAGTCCCATGAGAAGAACGTTTGATTCATGTTCACAAGAAGAGACCGACCATGATGAACGGAAGCCCACAGATGTCACCCTAACCCATTCACCGACGGCAAATATGATACCCAGCATTAAAGGGGCCCTGCCTCCTGCCAGGCGGGGGAGAGGGACAACCGAGTTTACAGGACTGTGTGGATCCGTGTGCCTGGCAGGAGTATAAGGCTTATACCCACAGGAGTATAAGGCTCTAGTGGACACTGGTCCCCAATGCACCCTGATGCCATCAGACTTTAAAGGGACAGAATCCATCTGTATTTCTTCAGTGACAGGGGGATCTCAACAGCTGACTGTACTGGAGACTGAAATAAGCCTGACTGGGAGGAAATGGGGGGGCTGGGTGCGGCTTGTCCAGGACTTGAACCTGAGACATCCCCAAAGTGTAAAACCTCTGAGCTGTAGTGTTTGGGGCTGTGCTTAATGAAAAGCTTTGCCATTAAAAAATGATAATTTATCATATGAACTTTTTCTCTGGACAAGTGGGTTTACAATGTTTTCTGATGGGAGCGTGTACTTTGGCACAGTGAATTGATGCTATATGAGCCTCTCCCTTCATGCAGATTGACAATGAAGATTTCTGTATGAGGACATAGTTGCTGACAAAAGAATGCAATTTAACTCAGTAATATTCTAATTTTTTCCTCCTGTTTGCATTTTATAGATTATCATAGATTAGTCAACAGACTGATTTCTTTTTTGTTATGTAGGTTTGTCTGAATGGCACACGATACAGGGGAACTTTTATACTTTCTGTTGTCTCCAGTTAATCGATTTAACTGTAAAAGGTGTTAAATGGACAGCAGACTTTTATACTTCAATTTCAGAGATTTATGCGTGTCTTTGCACTTTCTTATTTGGTTTAATCTTTTATGCATCAATAGAAGAAAAATACTCAATGCGTTTTCATTGAAACTAATTTTTAAAAGGCATACTTTAGAAAAAACTGTCTCTTAGAAGCTCCATATTTTTAAATCTGTTTCAGTAAGTCATTGAAACACGTTTAAGTGTATAGATTCTTTAATTTTAGCAGGTTTATGTCCCACAGAATAAATTATCCGTTATGGAAGATGCATGGTCAGTTTTACTCCAGAAATTATATTGTCAATAAGTGTGCCTTTTTTTTCTCCTCCTCTCAGGCTTTGTGAGCCAAAGAAAGATTTAATCGCCCGAGTAGTGAAAATAATTGGGAAAAGAAAAGCTATTGAACTGCTTATGGAAACAGCTGAAGTGGAACAAAACGGCGGACTGTTCATAGTGGTAAGAAAAATGGGATATTGTGGGTTTGTGGTGGGGGGCACACGTACCATTTGTAGAATATTTACGTAGTACTAATGCACAGTTTTCATGTTGGACAGGTTCTCCTAGAGTTCCGTGCCCTACCCTCACCCTGAAACTTGCTTAATAAATATTAATGTAACCTTCCAGTGGGATTTGAGTAAACAGTGAGATGAATGAACCTGTAAATTGCCTAACTTTTCATACTGAGATTAGTATCTGATTTGCTGTGGTAATACTTTCTGTTGCTCTGCCTCCCCTTGGGATTTTTCCCTGGCAGACTTAAGAGTGAAGGATTCTGAAGCTTGAGTAAAAGCTGGAGCCTTTGGCATGTTGCCAGAGCACGTTGCTTCAGTAAGTCCAGTGGCTGTTTGACAGCACTTACGTATCTACTGGGTTAATCAGCATGACATCAGAGTTCAACTACTCAGTAGTGAGCATTTCCAGTGGCACATTTGAAGAGTAACTGTCAAAGGAGAATCTCTTAGCTTTATTAGAGAACCATTGGCTTGCTTATCAGTAGAACAAAACTGAGCACTGATTTCTGTTACAAATCGTGGTAAAAATACTATACTTAATGGCTAGGTTATTAATTTCTCTGTATGTTTTTGTCTTTATCAAATAATGAGCCAAAAAAGTTCAGAAGAAAAAAAAAGTGGGAAGGAACTAGTAGGTACTTTCAGGCATTTGTTTACAATTTACATATTTTAGGTTCCATCATTGGAAGTAGAGAGGAGGAAAAAAAAAAGATAAAAAAACAACAACAAAAAACCATAACTACCTCCCACCCCCCCTCCCAAAAAAGCAACAACCTTCCAGTTAGCAGCTTGTCTTAGAAGCAATCTATTGTCTCAAAAGATGAAAGTACTTAAAGAAGTGTTTGCCAAGGAGATGAAGGGACACAATTCCTTGTGGCACAGGTTCCTTTGGCTGCAGATCAGAGTATGCCATTTAAAAGGTAGATAATACTGTTTTTCTTGGTTGTGATTTTGCACTGATAGCATGATAAAAGTATGTGGCGTCTGCTGTTTTAAGAAGATGGTTAAAAGTTGACCTTCTCTGTGCTTGGAACTTTTGGATTGTGTTTTACTTTGATATTTAGCAGAAGAGTGTCACATTTAATACATTAATAGTATCAGAGCACTGGAGTAACATTTCAACTTTATATGCTATGAATGGTAATTGAATAAGGGTATGATAATTAGTGCTTATAGTTAACAGAGGTTTTCAAAGCTGCTTCAGTATATGGCCTATTGCACCACTGCTGTTGCACTGAAATCTGTTGAAGGATGTAGTATCTTGGAGGGAGAAACTTTAAAGTACATGTTGTTTTTCGTATGCCTTAGGCAGAAATGGCAAATCCTGCAGATAAGTTGTAGAATTGCTGAGCACAATTGGAAAAAAAAAAAAAAAAAGAGAGATCTGCATAATTTTATAGGATTCATTTTTGACACTTTACTGGACTTAAGTGTTAGGAATGTTCTGAATACATAGCCAACCTAGTATATACATTATTGCAGATAGTTGTGAGATTAGTTAGAATACTGTTCACATTTTGTTTCTTCACTACCAAAATCAGATTTAGTATGTAGATGAACCTTTTGGTATTATGTTTAAAAGCAAATTTTTTGCAACCTCAAGTTTACCTGTCCAAATGTAGCAAGCTGATTGTTGGCCTTCTTATGGCTAGTTCAAATAAAACATAGTCAGGGTTTATGTAATATCTAACACAAGAGAACTTGATTTTTTTTTTAATTCTGTCTCAATACAAAGTGTTGTCTTTAGATACTGTTTTTACATCAGCACTTACTTATTAAGCTTGCTATTACTAATTTACTTTTTCCTATTAAGAATGGCACTAGGAGAAGAACACCAGGGGGCGTTTATTTGAACCTGCTGAAGAACACACCTAGCATCAAAGAAGAGCAAATTAAGGTAAAATTGTCAAGAATGCAGATGGTTGTCCAAAGTCAGTTTTGCTTTTTTCTGCTAGAAGTGTTATGATTGAATCTGTCTCATAAATTCGAGCAAGTGGAACTCTATATTCCAAAGAAACTAGGTTTTTACATTCAAAATAAAAGAAAAAAAAAAAAAACACAAAAAAATTGGTGAATTGCCATTCAGACTAGGCAGAGAGAACACCTTTTATGTATTGCCAAACACAAAAAACCTGTTGAGGATGATGAGACTGTAGAGTCTGAAGAGATAAGCATTGGATTTTCCTTAGTTTGTATATACCTTACAGCAGTGTTATCTGCAGTGGTATTTCTCCCTATGGAGCTCTGCATCATTATGCATGGATTTAATGGTGTTCTCTTAATGGAATATCTTTGTTCTATATAGCTCCAGCTGTAGCAGCAGGCAGTATTTCCCATTAAGTCAGATACTGGTCTGAACCTAATCTGAATTTCCCACTGGCCTCATCTGTGATGCTCACCAAATTAGTTTTGTCAGCTTGTAAATCTTACTGCTTTTCCTTTTAGAGTATGAAATGGACTGAGATGGTATTTTCTTCACTCATTTAAAACAACTTGTGTTTTTTAATGGTATTTGCCACTTTAATAAAGTTTTTGTTGAAAGAAAAACTCATTTATTTTGCTTGTGGGTGACTACAGCTTAACCATCTGATCGGGGAATTCAGAAGCAAATCAACATGAATTGTGATTCTGTCTCGTGTTTAAAAAAAGAAAAACAAGCACATACAACCTTTCATAGCTTACAGTGGTCACCAAAAGTTGCAAGTTTGATCATATCCCATTTTAAAAAAAAATTGCCCTTCTGCCACTATTCCAGAAGATTGCCTTTCTACCCCCTTTCCATGCCCTTGTAAACTCTGTGTCTCACTCTTCTCTTGCTGATACTGGCAAGTGTTTAATGAGACAGCAGTTTTCACTCAACAAACTTGGTTGATGGTATGAGACATCATTTGTCATACAAACCTGCAGGAAGAATATGTGTAGTCCTATCATCATGGAGGTTGTCATGTATACAGCTCTCAGATTTTCATATGCTTAGCACTTGACTTGCAGCTTTTGGGGGGAAAACATCTTTAATGTTTTCTGTATGCAATTTATGTTTTTTTAAAAATAAGCAAGGAAGGAAGGGCATGTAGCAGCATTTAGCTCTGCTACATGATATTCTTCCCCTTGAAAATGGAGGAAACTTGTAATTTTCATATTTTGCAGTAGAGAAGATGTTAATGGGGTTCACGGGTGTTTGACAGTAAAGATCATGAAACCTGGGCTCAGTTTCAATTGTGGAGGAAGGTTTTTCTGAAGTTGTCTTAGAACCTTTGTTCCTGTTTTCTCTACAGATCCCCCTGTGCGGCAGTACAACCTTCTGGTCTACAACCCATTCCTCCCAGTTTTGTATCATCAGCAAACCTGAAATTAAAATTTAGTGATACTTATTTACATACATTTTGAGATCTCTGAGAAATTATGTAATAAAATTATTTATGGGGTATTTTCTTTAAGTGCAGTCTATCCTCATACTTCTATTATCAATAATATGTATCTTAGTTTATTATTGAACAGTATTTGTAATAAAAAAAATATTTTTACTTCTTTGTTTTATTTAGGAAACACTAATAAAAGAATATGCCATTTTTTTTAATTTTTTTTTTTTTTTGTCTTCCAAGGAAATATTCTATTTGGAAAACCAGAAGGAATATGAAAACAAAAAAGCTGCTAAGAAGAGGAGAATACAAGTTCTAGGAAAGAAGATGAAAAAAGCCATTAAAGGGCTTAACCTGCAAGAATATGATGATGCATCTCGTGAGACTTTTGCTAGTGATACAAATGAGGCTCTGGCTTCCCTGGATGATCTACAGGAGGGGCATCATGAAGCAAAGATGGAACCTGAAGATATTATTGAAATTGATAATGCTCACGATTTGGAGATCTTCTAGTTGCTAATGTTCTTGATAACAAAGTCTCTTTAAAACATATAAACTGAGCCTTTCTTATAATCCCATGGCTTCTTGTTTTCATAAGCTGCAGAAACATGGGAAATACTTGATGCTGAAGAACGTGACATAATTGTTAGCTAAATATAACAGCATGAAAGATGGTAATTGTCCTATTATTTGTTTGCTGAGTCCTCAAAAACTGTTGAGAGTTTTCTAGATAGCAGGTCTGCATCACCATGTTTCTTCCTTAGGAACTTTTTTTAGCTACGTATTAGGTTTCAGAATTAAGGCTATGTTTTAACCAAAAATATCATACTTAATTTGCTGAAGCTAACAAAGCCATGAAGTGAGTAATGCCTCTCGTTAGAATTGAACAGAAAAAAAACCAGTATAAAATTAGTCCCAATATGAAAGATAGTGTGTTCTTAACACAGCAGTGTGTTGACAAGAATAGCGGTGTTTATAGGATTAAGACCTACAGGATAAGACCCACTCCGTAAAAACAGATTGATTTGTGAAATAAACTTAATTTTAATGGTTTGAATAACAACCTTGTAAATAAGCACTGTTGAGCAACGGATGTTTTAAATTTCTAATTAATTTAAAGCAGGTTAATTGTTCATATTATAATAGCAGTTTGAGCTTCGTACTTGTTCTATCTAGACTTTCCGTTACTACACACAACACTTATACTGATCTTTTTGTCGGAAAACAAATACAACTGAATGCTTTCTGGGTAGTGAGATTTTACTAATCTGTGTTCCCCTCAAGGATCTGTACACTCTGCATGCGGGTTTAAACCCTTTACCTTGCAGCAGTTCTTGTTTCCATGCTTCTTCTCAGGTGTGCAGTAGGATAAAGTAATGTGCAGCTTGCAGAAGTTCTGAAGTTTTTCTGTGCTGACTCTTAAGAAAACAATAGTATGGAAAAGATTTTTTTTTTTTACTTGATGCAGAAGACTGTATGTAGTTTGTAAGTTCAATTGTAAGACAACTTTTATGTTGAATGTTGTTTTTAATATAACTGAAGAACAAGGGAGACACTGATACTATTACATTTAGACAATGATGTATAAAATACCTGTACTAATAAGTTGTGTTTTCTGTGACTAGACACTATTTTCCAGTATAAAATATTTCTGAAATATTATTGAATTAATTCACTTCAAACCCAACAACAGACTGCACATAAATTTTGTTCACCTGGAGTCCTTGGATTTCAGAAGCAAAGCATATCACTAAAACACATAATGAAGTTACAGTATTTAGCAGTTCACTCCTGTGAAGAACTGCTATTTAAGGGACTACAGTATTTGCATAAAGAATTCTTAAACATAGCACATTCCATTATATGCTTTACTAAATTTGTTTGAGTTTTGACTTTTCTGCATTTTTCTGTTCATGTGCCAGAGCTCCCTGTCATTACGAAGTAACACAACGGATGTGAAGCATACCTTTGCTGATAGTAGTTGCTCATGCTGAAAAAACAAAAGGTTTTGATTTGTGTTTTGTTTGGAAGCAGATATGCCTGGCTGTTTAGATTTAGTAGGTGATGTTTTACAGACAGAAATGCAAATAAAAGGGTTGGGATTTGTGTTCCTAAGTTTCTCTGATGGGCAGATGTGATTGAGGCATCATCTTTACTGCAAATGTAGACTGTGTACTTCTGGGAAAAATAACGCCCTCCATCCCTTAAGCTATAGCACCGTAATAAGCCATCTCTGTCATGCCTGATGCAGACTGAAAATAAGGGAAGTGTGCTCTAGTTTGAAAACACAAAGCTTGGTTGTAACCACCAAAGATGTTTTTCTTCCTTATATCCCAAATTCAAATAAGAAAACAATGCTTTTTGGTGTCATGGGGGAAATTAATTTATTAAGGATTCAGCTGTATAGTGGATCATGAAAGCATTGCTTTACATATAATTACAATGTTACAGATTCTCCTTCCCCGTCTAAGTAAATGATTTCATTAAAATGTTTTTATATCCTCCAGGCTTATTAACTGCTATTTGCCAAAATTCTCAAGCAAGCATGGAATGACCCAGTGCTTAGTGTGATGCCTTGGAAAGAAGGTAGAACAAATAATTTTACTTTAAAGGTAGTGATAGTGAAATCAGATAGTGGTTTTGTACTGTGTGCAGCTTAGCAGTTGTCCCATATTCCCCAAAGTGCTGCTGGGTATCTGCAGCAATTCTTACTGAATCCAGCTCCAAACATCAAGCTAGACAGCAGTGCTTTGCTTTTTCTCTCTGTACCATCTTCATAATGCTAGCAGGACGTTTTATCCTGAAGTTGTTTACTGTCTACAATGTGTCAAAATCTTTTATTCTGTTTTTCTTTATTTTTATTATAATTTTTTTAAAAAATAGTGTGACGGTGACTTCTTTGTTATGAGAAGCATCTAGAGATGCACTTGGCACGTGTGGGGTTATTGATTCTACAGGTAGGCTTGTTAAGGACTGTGTGACTTCTAAAAGATCTATGAGGAGCCAAAGAGGGAAAGGAAGGGAAAAACAGCAATAACAAGATATAAAGGTGGTAGGAAAACTGAATTAAAAGGAGATTACTACATTGATTATGACAATCACCGAGTTCCTTGTATTTTGTCAAAGTAAAGGTGTGAAGGGGTAGACTGAGTAATAAAATTGTAAGTTTTTAAAAAGATTTTTTTTTCAATCTGTCATAAAACCTCACTTTGACAACTGTCATTACTTGGCCCCTTAACTTAAGTGATCCTCTCTATTGCAGTTCCGACACAGAGAAGTCTGACAGAGGCACTTTTTTAAAGGCTCGGTGTATTTCAGCGTATGGAGGAGAATTGTATTCATGGCTCCAGTGAATATGGGCTTACTTGCTACCCCACGCCTGTTCCTAATTCATCAGCTGGTCCAAGTTACAAGCCTGTTTCTGGACTACTGTGGTAGTTCTGGGAATATCCAGTCTTGGAGCCTTTGCATCATAGTTTGTTTAAGGGATTCAGGAACCTGGCAGAAACAATGACTGCAGTTTCCTACAACCACCTCAGCATGCAGCTGGAGGGCACATTGCATAGTGGCAGCCGTACACAGTGCCAGCTTTTGCCGCAGCTGTGGCCTCTTGATAACTTGGACCTCCTATCTCATTCATGACCTGCCAGGGCTGGGAAGCTCTTGCAGATCAAAGCTTCCCAATATTTAGAAAGAATATATTTGAAGCTTCTCATTTCCTTCTCTGCAATTCTGATAGATGCCACTTTTTCAGAGCTGTAGCAGGAGGAAGGGACATTCAACTGTGATAGATGTAATATGGCCCAGCCAAACATGTTTCTAGAATCAGACAACCAGACCTAAATATTGTGACCCACCTTTTTTTTTCCTTTTTTCTTTTTTTTTTTAACGTGATGAAAATGAGAAATACATGTCTGAAGTTATAACAGTAGACTCACTGCTAGATATTCTAGACACTGCCTTTAGGTTTTGGGGGGTTTTTGGTTTTGGTTGTTTTTCCCTTGAGCAGAGGGATTAATTTTTCAGTTTTTAAAAGGATAAAGGCAAACCAACATTTTTGTTTCATTAAATAAATGCAGAAAAAAATTTCTTCTCTTGAAAACTTTTCCCTGGAAATATTTTTTTTTTTTTTTCCCCTTGAAAGGTCATTTGTGATTCAGTATATCAGCATTCTTGTTTAAAATGTCATCTCTTTGAAAGGTATTCTCATTATTCCCCAGAAGTTTCACTTTCTTAATTTGCCCCTGAATTTTTCATTTGTTCTATCGGGTTTTTTTCAAATGATAGTACATCTATTTACAATAATTATTTTATATTTGTTGTTTAGTTACCACTAATGAGCTTTGCATTGACAGACTTCAACCACTGGAATGTCTTTATTCAGCCTGCAGAATTTGCTGAAATGTATACTGGGGCTCTGGAAGAGAGTTTGTTCTTGGAGCACAGGAAAGACTTTGTCATGGAGATTAAAGAAAAATCCTCCAAGAAAAAAAAATGCCTTGGGAAGTGTTAATTGCCGATATCCTCATACATTCCCATGTTTCCAGATACTAGGCAATTGTCATTGCTCTTGCATGCAGAAAACTTGTTAACTGCTCTTTTCTCTTATAAACAAGCTGGAATGTTACAATGTGTGATGTTTAAATAGCATACAAAATTGCAGCAAACTGTTGTGTAGCCTATTTTCTTTGCAGAGAAAAGTCAAAAAAACTTGTCTTAATGTTGACCTGATGTGCTTGATAAAAAATATGAGAACCCAAAATATTTTTGACTCGGGATTTTAGTTGAAAAACGGAATGTCCATGTAGATATACAGGAGATAGGTAGCAGCCCAGTCCTATGTTGTCTCCTTGTAAAGTCCTGATGGCTTTCTTCTGTTCCTCCTACATCTCCCAGAAGTGACCCTATTTTTTTGTTGTTTTTTTTTTTCCTTGGGAGATACTATTGTCTTGGGAGATGATTGATATATCTTGGAAGATATTGTGACACACCTTTTTCTTTTTTTCTTCCTTTTTTTTTTAATCTTGTTTCAGCAGTACTCCTATTTCTCTGCCTAACTGAAACATTAAATAGAACACTCTTTACTCCTCTGGACCCCAAGCATACTACAGTGAACTAAGATTTTCTGAAGGAAGAATTTCTGATCCACAGTCACTGACGCATTTTAAAAGAAAAGGAGACATGCAGAAAGATTCTCACAGGCCATCAGGGGAAATGTGCTTAAGGTCTAAGTGAAGAATAAGCTGAAGTAGATGAAGGTGTAAAATAAACAGACTGCACAAATGGCAGCAGTTGGTTCCAGACATCCAAACACAAGCATGTAGAGCTGTCAGCCCAAACCAGATGTGTACATCTAAGAAGAGGTGTGGTTCAATTTTGTCTTGCAATTCTTCTTGCCAACTCTTCATTGTGTAAACACCAAATTCTTAAGCTGGAAGGTAGCAAGTGGGAAATCCAAAGGAAAAAAATCTTTAATTTTGCAAAGGTGTGAGTTTTAATAAGTTTTCCAGAAAGTGTTTTTAATATCCCAGATAGCTGTTTGATTTTTGCCTTACATGATACAAGTAAGTTTCTTTATTGTAATGTTCGTGTAGATACTTTATCACTTTATTTTGAAATATGATATACTAAAGCTTTATTTTAATTATTCATTTGAAAAATGTGTTTTATTTCAAGTTACTATATCTCTATATTCTGTTTTATAGCAGACTAACTCTATTAAATCCAAAGGACAGAAGCTGGCTTTAAAGCTGTAGCTAATTATTAACAGAAATACAAAACTGCAGTGAAAACAAATGAGAAGAAGGGCTTTGAAGATTTCTACATAATTACTGTTCAGTTTTGTTTACATAGAAGTACTGATCTCCAAATACTGTTATTTTTCCTTATATGATCTCAAATCTGAAAAGTTAGTTTCACATTATCTTAGGAAAATATATAGAATGTATCTTGCACCTTGTTGTTTCTCCCTGCAGAACTTCTGTCACGGTGGATAAAAATCTGTGACTGATAAAATCTTTTCTACTGAAGGCAATAAAAATGAGCTAATGCATCATTGCTGTTAATGGTCAGTGAGTCTATTTCCCTGCTCTGAAAACAAGTAATGTATTCTCTTGTTCTGTTTTCAGCTGGTTTTGATTTTTAATGCTATTAATGCCATTTTCTCCAAACTTCTTAATGTCTTAAATATCCAGATTTTGCCCAATGAGAGGCATTCAAGATTAGTTTCTATGCAAGAACACTTACAGTACCTGTCAAAAGACTGATGCTTTAATAAAGTAATTTTTTAAATTTAACAAAATCTTTGGGGGTAAATTGAACCTTTTATGTCATTGGGTTGTCATTTTGCAATGAATTATTTATTGTATAGTGTTCTATTTTAGTGTTTCAGTTTGGGATGACTGTGTCTAAAGAAATTAATTAATACATCACTTTGCTGATATCTAAGAAATCATAATCCCTAACCAATACATTTCTAAGACTGAAATCAACAGGCACCTTCAGTAAGCCCTTAAAAAGTAGGATGTAGAGTAGAGTAGAGTAGAGTAGAGTAGAAGAGAATAGTTCCTGTTGGAAAGGATCTACAATGATCATCTAGCCTGATGGCCTGGCCACTCCAGGGCTGACAAAAGTTATAGCCTGTTCTTAAGGGCATTGTTCAAATGCTTCTGAAGCACCAACAGGCTTGGGGCATCGACCACCTCTCTCGGAAGCCTATTCCTGTGTTTGACCACACTCTTGGTAAATAAATGCTTCCTCCTCTCCAAACTAGACAAACCCAAAGTCCTTAGCCACGGCTCACAGCCCTGTCACCAGCTTTGTGCCCTCCTCTGGACACATTCAAAGACCTTAATTTTCTTCTTCAATTATGGGGCCCAGAACCGTGCAGAGAATGTCACACAATACTCCTGGAGACTTTGGGAGCTGCCGGTTTTGCCTAGGGGATTTTAATCCTTCCAGCTGTGAACTGGAACTAATAATACTGCTAAACCACCTCTAAAAAGTACTTGATATGAGGAATAGATTTTGAATATTTTATTTTTCTGAGGAACTAGTTTTAAATAGGCAAAACCAGAAAATTCTTCCTTGGCAATGTAATTACATGCAATTTTAACACTGCCACATATTCATCATGGTTCAGAAACTTCTGCAAATGACTGAAAAGGAGATCATAGAATTATAGAATGGTTTGGGTTGGAAGGGACCTTGAAGATCATCGGTTCCAACCTTCCTGCCGTAAGCAGGGACACCCCTAGACCAGGTTGCTCAAACCCTCATCCAGCCTGGCCTTGAACAGGGAGGGGGCATCCACAACTTCTCTGGGCAACCTGGGCCAGTGTCTCACCACCCTCACAGAAAAGAATTTCTTCTAAACCTGCCCTCTTCCAGTTTGAAGCCATTTCCCCTTGTTCTGCCACTGCGTGCCCTTGTAAAAAGTCCCTCCCCAGGTTTCCTGTAGCCCCTTCAGGTACTGGAAGGCTGCTAGAAAGTCTCTCCAGAGCCTCCTTTTCTCCAGCAGCAGGACCTGGAGCCAAACTCAGTGAGCCTTGTTTAAAAGTGATGCTGGGGGCTCTCTGAAATCCAAAGAGGGGCACTCACCTTACCCTCAGCATTGACAAGGAAGGGTTTTTTAAAACAAACAAACAAACAAACAAACAAACTATATATAGCCAAACCTAATTTTAAAAAATCCTGAGAAAGTGCGTCATCTCTCCTCCAAGTGTCGCTCCTGCCCCACATATTTCCTAGCAAAGGACAGGCATGGAAACGAATTTTTCTCAAAAGCAGCTGGCCGTGGAATTAAGTTTGTGCAGGTTGTATGTGCTTATCAGAGACCAACAATAATGCTAGTTACGTTTTAATTTTATTTTTTTTTAAAGTAACATATTATTATTCCCTCATTATTCCAAGCCAGTTCTTTGAAAGCAATGTTACGATATTTGGCTGTAGAGCTATATTTTTTTAACCTTTAAAGCTTAGTTAGGCAATTTTTACTTTTTTTTTTTTTAAAGTAACATAATATTATTCCCTCATTATTCCAAGCCAATTCTTTGAAATCAATGTTATGATATTTGGCTGTAGAGCTAGATTTTTTTAACCTTTAAAGCTTAGTTAGGCAATCACACAAGAATCATCATCAGAGGAGGAGGAATGAATAGAAATTTTTCTGTCCTAAAAAATCCATATGGTGTTTTCAAGTTTAAAGATTTTAAAAAAAAAAAATTATTTATTTTTAAAAAACGGTACATTAGATTTTTAGGGTATGTGTATTTAGGGTAGTCCCTTTCTGATGCTTGGCAATTGATTCAAAGTGGAGCATGAATTTTATCCCACACACTGCATAAAAAACAAATTACTTATTCCCTCTTGGTTGTTACTATCTGCCATATTTCTCTAGCATAACATTCTTAGATACTGGTGTAGAGAAGAGAAGGTGGTATTTTTCAGTGGCATATTTACTGGAAATCACAGGCAAGGAAAATAAGCTACATGCTGAAAAGAAAGGCAAGGGAGAAAGCACCAGAGTTTGTTCCTTTAGGTCTCTAGCCCAGAACTTTGTAGAGGATATTTTGCAGGTTCATCATTGTCTAGTTGTATGCATATTTTCAGAACTAAGTAATCTCTGCAAGATGTTGAAGCAATTTTTTGGCACAAAGCCTGAAAAAATTATTCAGATGTCTTTGAACTTTTTGAACCAGTTGAGCAACTATTTGAGCCTTCAGGAAGGCTGGAAGATGGACATTTCTTAAGGCTTTCAAATGTAGTCCTAGAAAGGTATAGGAGTTTTCTTTTGTAGCCAGCATACCAATATCTTGGCAATTACCTTATTTGTATTACACTGCTTTCTTTGTAAGAACCTATAGGAAGTATGTTATTTTTAACAAAGGTTTTGCTATCAAAAACTGTTTTTCCCACTCACAGGCTACTACAAAGCATAGCACCTTTTATTCATGAGATAAGATTTTTGTCTACTAATTCCAAAATGTTTTTTTTTATCAGCAAGGATATCAGCTCAAGTTCTTTTACAGTGCTCTTGTCCTTGTAGCAGTTAACATTGTTTGCTGTTATAATAATGCTTCAAGAGAAGTATACTGTATTTACTTTTGCAAATGTGTGCAGATTCAAATAAAAGTCTTTTATAAAATCCTGTCCTCTGCTGAGCAGAGCAGATCCTATTAAAGCTGGCATGGATGAGCAGTCATTTATCCCTGGATGGAATTTGGCCCCTTGTGACATGCCATTTAGAATTAATACCAAAATCTTGTAAACTGTGAGGAACTAAGCTTTAAGATTCCAAAAATTCTTCATGTGCAAGACAGCCAATGATGAGTTAAAACAATTTTACAATGATCCAAGTAAAAATATTGCCAGGAGAAAATTAACAAAGTACCTGAAACTTAGGGACCTGTGACTTTAAAACACTGATTACCTCCCTGTCCTGCTTAGAGTAATTTTTAAAAGTAATGTAATTCTAAATGTAATTTCTATTGGTTAAGCAGGAAACACTGTACAGAGCTTTTACAAGTGACTAAGAACCACATGTACCCTCAGTACACTCAGTACAAAAATGAAACTGATTTGGGGAAATTAGTGCAAATGGTGCCTACGCA